TGATCAAATAAATCATTCTTTGATTTGAATTTGATCAAATCAAATATTCAAATATCAAATTGAATTGCGAAACCCTAATTCTAACATATCAGACTAATTACCCAATACAACTATATAATATTTATAGCGTATTCTCATATGCAACTCCACAAAATTTTATTTTTATATCAAAAAATATTTTTATTATAAAAATTTTATATAATATTTAAATAAAACATAAATTAGAACCTGTTTAAAATCGCACTTACAATTATGAAAAAAATACTAAATTTATTAAAAATCCTATTCTATATTAATGGAAAAAAAATATCCTAATCAATCCTCTTGCTTATCTGGAGCATTAGAATAGTTATTATTAATAGTCACATTAATTACATTTGCACTCTAGAAAAAGGAAGGAAGGGTAGGTATGACTGGTTTAGAAGTGATAGAATGTTCGACAGTTGATAGTATTATATATCTCGATATAATAGACATTTCTTTAGGTGATCGATCCATAGACACTTCTACTTGTGATGATGATAATAAACTTGCTCTACTTGAATTAACACTTTCATTATATCCATGACAAGAAAGTAGCTTCCTCCAAAAATAAGTAGAGAACTCATCATAAATTTCTTCACCAATTAAGCTATTCTTTTTACACTCTTTGTTTTATGATTTTTTGCTGTCTAATAAAAAATAATAAGTATAATGATTAGCCAGACTATAATCACTCAAACAAATAGAGTACTCTACTTACACCAAAGCTTTATTGAGAGATGAGAATTTCTTATGACAATCCTCACCAGTAAAATAGTTTGTATTTTCCTGTTCATTTAACTTCATAGCAATATCATCCAAAAAAAGTTGTTTCTTTTTATTTGGAGTGATCTAATACTCAATATTTCTCTGCTTTCATTTATTAATAAAAAGTAAAAGCATAGCATCGCTTCACTAAATGTAAACATTTTTACATAGTGAAAAACTAGTGTGAGAGGAGACTGTTTTATAAAAAATTATCAAGTGATGTGTTAGGCTGATTAATGAAATGATTAATCAAATAATAACGGTGGCTTAGACTTTTTTTCTGATTGGCCGATCACCTGTGATTTAAGAAACCACTCAGCATCATGAAAGTGCCAAGAAAGTATTGTGGAAGTGTTGTGGAACTAGCAGGGAACTAGGGAGATCTCATGTGATACAAATTTATATTTTAGCTGTTCACAATAAAAAGGTCTAATTTAACTGAATCTGTTAATCCTCTATATGTATATGTAAATATATATAATGTATACATAGCACCTTCATCAGTTTCAAATAAAAATGAATCTGATATTTATTAGGGTATAATATTGTTAAATCAGCTAAAATCACTAAAAATACTATAAATCAATAAAATCATTATAATTTGTTATAATCTACTAAAATACTAATATGGATTTAGATAATAGAACCTATTCTAAGCTTCTTTTAGTTAGTTTTAGTGATATAAACTTTGAAGAATATTGAAGAATATTAGAAGTATTATGTTATTTAGGTGATAGATATGATCATAAAACACCAGAAATGTGGTATTCTCAAATTTGTGATCTATTTAGGAAAATACTAAAAGAAAACCCAAGAATCTTTTCTGGAAATGGATTTATTACAATGCATAGAAAATTATATGAAGGTGTTAGGGATACCGGCTTTCCATCAAATTACATATATTGTAGTTAGTGATACTTGACTAAACTTTTTTTGAAAATTGTAATTTCGTCAAAAGTTTCGTCTCTTTAATATTTTTATATGAATAAATATAAAATTATTATATTTTTTAATGTATTTTAATTCAAGGAATTTAGATCAAGTTAAATATAATTTCAGCAATTAAGTAAAATAATTTCATCATTAATAAAAAACTAGTTTCGTCATTTCAGTTTCATCAATTTCGTCATATTAAGAAAGGTAATTTCATCAGGTATCATTAGTTATATATGATCGGCAAAATGATTGACATGTGATATAAGCATGTCCGCTATGCTAGTTTATACATGGTTGGTTATTTCATTACATAAGCTCCAGGTCTAGTAATAAATGACTTTGTTAAAATATTTATGTCAAATTAAAATAAAGTTACCATTTTGAAAATAACATTTGTTAAATTTTTTCATATAGCAAAATAATTTACCACTAGATTTCTAATATAGATATATCTGAAAAAAATGTAATTGATCTCCTTTTGTGATAAGGATCAGTCATATATTTTTGATAATTTTCAAAAATGTTCAAAGCAATTTTTTATTAGTTTTTCTGTATTTTAAATAGGTAAATTATATTTTAATAAAATGAAATTACTTTTTTTTTATTTCAATAATATTTTTAGATGTTTGGATTATAAATATTGATGATTTAGAAGTGTTTATTTATAATTATTAATTTCATTTTAATTTTAGAGAAAGAAGAAGATTTTTTTAAAAAACTGATAGCCAACAAAATTTATATAGTAATACATTAACTAAATCATTTTTTTTATAATGAATATTAGTAATCATAAAATATATTAGTTATTTACCAATTATTGATCATTTGTCAATATTACAAGAATATCTCTAATCTTATAGTAAATAACTATTATATTTATATCACTTTATTGTTTATATAAGCTCAAATAAGTAAATATACATACAATGATTTGAAAAAAATGCTACTTTTAAAGTAAAATATTTTTTAAAAAAATATTTTATTGTAGTTTAAGATTTATTAAAATTGTATAATCATATAACTATAAAATGAAAATCCAGAGCATATAAGTGAATATAAGTTTTTAACCTAATCAGCAGACAAATGAAAATATTAACATAATTATAGTTTTTAACACATATTATAAAAATATTATATAAAGACAATGACATATATTCTATAAATAACCTATATATAAAAAAGTATATAAAAATAATATGTTTAAAAAACTTATTAATAAACATAAAATAATAGTATAGTCAAAGTTGGATATAACGATGTTATTATATAACAATAATATCTTATAATGATAAAAAATATCTTGCCCAAAACAGTTATAATTAAATTAGCTTTATATATTGATTTTAATTAATAAATCTCTTTATTTTGTATTACGATAAATATTACAGATATCACATATACTTTTAGTATCACAATATAACGATATTCATATATAATAATCGCAGTGCATTTTTCCAATTTTGAGTAGCAAATGTGTTACATATAGCACTGATTATTTTGCCAAGTGATTTTTATATGGAATTTCACGCCTTTTTTATTTCATTGATAAGCAAGCTGTGTAACTTTATTATACTTTTTAAGATTTTTATACGATTGTTCGCTGAGTTTGCGACTATTAATTTATTAACAAAAAATCTCAAACATTCTCATTAACTTTTAGTGAATCTTACTTGAAAAACAGGCAACTTTGCTTTTAAACTTATAAAATCTTTTGCACAATTTTTTTTATATTAAAAATAAATATTAAACAATTTTTTTTTAAAAAAAAACAAAGTATTATTAAACTTATTAAACAAATAATGTTTTTGAATATAGTTCAACTTAGTATTAATGTTATAAGCTTGTTATTATTATAAGTTTTATTAATATTTTAAAAAATAATATATTTGATAAAGCTTACAGTTAAAAGCTTAGAAAACTTTGAAAGGTATGTCTATAAAATATCTTTTTCAAATTGCTTTTTAAATATAATATATTAATTTATAAATAATAATATAAATAATATTAATTATATAAATTATATACTTTTAATTAATTTTGTTATTTATTCATCTAATTTATTTTTTACATTTTTTTTATTATTATAAAAAAAAAAAAAAAATTTTACATTCTATTAATGTTGCTATCCGAAACTATTTAGGAATTTTCAAAACTAAAACTAAAACTAAACTAAAACTAAAACTCTACTAAAACTACAAAACTTATAAAAACTAATAAAACTTACCGAAACTACTAAAATTTAC